GACTTCAAAAACACGTAGATGGCCACGGTGACCTGAGGAGTTCCATTGATCAAAAGAATTAAAGCTAGAGATTGTAGCATACCTATAAGATGTAATTTTGCAAAATATGACAAAGTTAATGAATTATGTCTGTTTTTTGTTTCTCACCTGAGCCACAGCAGTTAGAATATGACGGCTCCATAGTTCGTTGTCCTCGATGTCGTAGGCAGATATGCTGATCTGTCCACCGAGGTTCATGAGCAAGATAGGAGCCCATAACACCTCAAGGTCATGGTTGCCGTTTACAGAAGTGCACTGTAACTTTCTTTGGCGATTGAAGAGGGTTGCGAGGGCGTATATGCCACAGCATCTTCACCTAGGTATGCCAGCCATATGCTAAATCTGAACAACGGCTGGATATGTTTCCTACGGGCGCTGGCGAACAACGCGAGGTAGCACTATATGCTGAGGCTGCCTAAGACAAGGATGCGCAGCTTCCACTCTTCCCACCATTGCACCGCGCTTGAGAGGATCATTTGCTGCTACCTCGATCGTTTTCTTTCTCTTTCGGTTTCACTCTCTTTGGTGGGTGTGGTGAGGTACCATCATCGTCCTACGCTATATATATCCCAAGTTGAGCTTATTATGTGACTTTCTCTGTTGAACTCATGAGTACCTACTACGAGTTGTAAACTATAGGCAGGCAAAGGTGCGCCAGACTATATATATTTATTTATGGAGACCTAAGAAACCACTACGTTCATTTCGAAAGACTTGCAAAAGAGTATCGGTCAATGCAAATTGCAATACGAATTGCTACTCCGCTATCGTAAACCATTAGGCCACAAAGAATTATCAGTCCCCAACCTCAGCACGTGCTAGAATCTTTTCATAGTAAGTACTAAAAATTTCATGGATAAATTTAGTAGGTGTAACTAATTTTTTCGAATTTATTTGATTTTATTAGTACTGCAGAGAGTCCACAATCTCTGCCGGTCGTCCATCACTATCGATTTCATTAGATTTCTCAGTTTGTGCCCTGCCCTCCCTTGGTCAACTTTGTCCAAAAGTGGACCGCGATCGTGGAGCCACATGGATGCAGAATTATCCAAAAATGCTCAGCGCAACCGCAACAAAACCAACTGCCACATTCTTCAGAATCTGCCCCATTTTAAATTTCTCACTTTCGGCGCACATACCTTCTTTCGTCGACAACCATGTGAATCATCCGAGAATTAAGAATATCGGCAACATGTAAGGTATATTTTTAGCATCATATAATCTTGCCTTTGCATTGCATCCTAGCAAACAGATAGGTTTTTAATTCGGTATTTATTATTATTTGCTTGTTTTGGTCGTGTTGTCATCAAGCACCGAAAAGGAGAGATTATAAGGACGTCGGCCCATTTAGTTTGGATTTTGATGTTTGATGATCAATAAGACTAAGTTAGACTACTATGTTTGCAAGTGTTTATTTTTTAGTCCAATAGGTTGCATAGAGGACTTGTATTTATTTGAAGCAAAGAAGACTTTGATCAACACCGAAAAGAACACATTAGAAGAGGTGTTGACAACCTAGCTAGAAGATCCAAGACACAAGACGGAACCAAGCCCAGATGCAAGATGGCAAAGGAATGAAGCAAAGAAGAGAGGTGCAGGGGCGTCGGACCCTGCCTGGACAGGCGTCGGACCATTGCATGTGAGTCTGATGGTGGGAAGCCGCAGCCAGCATAGCGTCAAAGGGGCATCAGACCCTGCTATCAAGCAGGCGTCGGACTATAACCTCAGAGTCCGATAGTGGAGAACATAGTCAGCCGCGCTTCAGGAAGCATCGGACCCTGCAACAGTGAAGGCGTCGTACTATAGCAGGCTGAGTCCGAACGGGTTCTAGAGCCGAACCCGAGAGGGTTTTCGGCATTGGACCAAGTCCGCCCTGAGGGCATCGGACCGTCCGACGTTGTAGCCCACTCGTCAGGGAGGTGGGCGATGGGAACGGTCGACAGCGGTAAAGGTCATCTCGCAACGGATAGAAGGAAGGGGGTGTCGGACCGTAGGGAAAAAGGTCCGACGGTTCGGACCTATTGGTCCGATGGGTGGCAGTTTTGCCTCATGTGAGGCCCAACGGCTCTATTTGCTTGGAGGCCTATTTATACCCCCATGGCCGGCCAAAACAAAGGTGTGAGAACCCAAGGAATTGCTATATGAGTTGAGACTCGATTTTAGTTGCTCTAGCCACCAAAGTGCTTAGCGAAATATTTGGTGATTAGCATAGTTGTTTTGCAAAGTGCTTTGGTTGATTAGATCACCACTTATGCGCTTGCTCTAGGTTTAGACCTAGTGTTTAGTGAGGTTTGCATACCTCTTACCATTCGGTGCTTGCGCGCATAATTGTTGTACTCAGCAGGGATTGTAGGTTTTGAGAGACCACACCAACCGCGCTTGTAGTGTGGCTGCCACCGTGTATGGAGGGAACAAGGCCCGCAGCGTTTTGGTCGAAAGCTTGATAGTGAAGACGGCGGTGAGCGGTCCGGGAGAGGCTTGACGGAAGGCACATCGGAGACCCACTTTTGCGTGGGAAAGCCCGAGGCTATCCACGGAGTTAGACGATCGAAAGCTTGGCCCTTGCGAGGGGTCCAACGAGAACTAGGGGAAGCGTGAGCTTCTTGATACCTTGGTAAAAATACCGGAGTCGTCGACGGGAGTTTGCATCTCTATTGCCATTTTACCTTCCGCATTTATATTATGGACTTTGGGTGCGTGCATACTTTCCTAACTTAGTTTGATAGGCTAGTTGATTGGATTGGAACCTAAGGTATGTAACTCTTTTGTAGTAGAGATAGCAACACATCTAGCAAAATCGTAGTTGCACATTTAGTTATTTTATTTATTTGCATAGGTTTTGCTGAGGTGAAAATTAGAGGCCACTGTTAGAAGTAGATTTTTAAGTTGCCTAATTCACCTCTCTCTCTTAGGCGTCACTTTTCTTATAATAATATAATGTAATATACACCTATATATTTTGTACCTAAATTATCCATCTCAACCATTATAAAAATTAGCAAAAATCTCTCAAATCTACGTGTAAATGCTAATATAAGCTAGTATGAAAATTAATTCAACATCTATAAGTACAATGTATGAACAAAGCTAATTGAAATACACAATTCTATCATTATTAAGTTAAAACTATGCACACACTTATGTTCCACTACGTAGACCAGGGAAACATGTATATATTAGGATAAATATTTATTTGATAAGTTTATCAAGCGTGGAAAAATATCCTTAGCAAACCACATAGTAATGACACTTTCAATTCACTTTAAGTTATATTAATACTCATGGTAATAAATTTTTGTAAGTCGTTATCTTGAAAAAAGTTTAAACAATTTGATTGAAACATTATATCATATGAATATTAGTAATTTAATTTCAAGCATTATTCATTTAATAAAACAATATAATAAATTCAACATCTTGAGTGCCATGCTGCATGCTAGAAACAACTATTTATGCCATTGTAAGAATTAAAAAGGTAGCTTAAGACCTAGAATATTATTTTAATAAAATAAAAAATGAAATTTTGAATAAACCATACAATAAGCATTGGAATTTCAAATTAACACATGTATAAAACATTACAACAACTAGATCAAAAGCTGAAAGTTAAAATATAGTTTTTTATGATATCACATAAAGTGATGAAATAAAAGTTTATATACTTTAAGTTTATGTTTAAATACATATCATGCTAGAAAAAATATTAATCCTAGGAATTATTACTCATGAAGCCTCTAGAAATAAAAAAGATAGATCCTAAAATTCTTACAAAAACCTAAAACATTTTGCCATCAAATGGGTAGACTATATTCACCATTGTAAATAATAGTTGTTGTATCTAAGTAATTAATAACCTCAAAATTTGGGAAAAAGAATCAAAACTTAGGTTCATGTCATCAAAATATAGACTATAGCTAAAGCCATCAAAGTTTAAACAAATGGTTCAGCTAAATGTATATTGGAGACAAATAGAGGGGCTATGTAAATAAAAAACTGATGGATATGGATGAAAAATACATAAAAATCAATAATTGATAGATTATGAAAACTGAGTATAGACCATAGACTATCTATTATAGCTATTATTTTAGAACATTAGTGAAGAGAAAAACATTTAATATAAGTAATTTTTATTAGTTATTAGTGTTTCATAAGATTCTAACTTGTGCCAGGGCATGGGTTGATGAACTAGTATAATATATTATAAATAATTCTTTATTAGTCAGATGTATTAAATAGTATATCTCTTATAAACTTTTTAGACAAATATATGTTTTATAGTTCTTGCTCGTGCGAGAGCACGGGTTGATGGACCGGTAAAATCTCCCAGCCTTATTATCAAGTATTGGACTGTTACTTCACATACAAGGTACACGGTAATGCATTGTTTAACACACCAGAATCTCACACGGCATAGTGCATCCTATCATCCATCCACCACTAACAGTTCTTCCGAAACTTTCAACACCGCAGGAGGTCATGTGTTACGAAGCACAGGGCAGAGCAAAGCACGAACGGCATTCATGGAACAGTTGTACGGTCAGAAGCTGCACCGTAGCTTCTGCTGCCTCTCAGGCGGGAACGTCTCCATTCTCACAGCGACATCAGGAAGGATTGAGACAGGGGCGTGCTACTCTCTACGTCTACCACTAGCAGCGGTCAGCAGAAAAAGCGAGCATCGTAATTCGACACAGGCAATGTATACATTGGAGGAAAATTTTCTTCAGGAAATTTAATCCAATACGAATAACCGAGACCATGGTAACAATGAAACATCAACATTAAGGCCACACTTGTACTCCAAACAATATACAGTATGTGCTATATATTTTTTGCAACAGTGCAGCGGAACAGGCAAGCATAACAGGATAGCACAAACAAGTATGAAAATGCAGTACATGAAGTAGTATCTTCTGGAGCATATATACAAGATAGCAACAAGGACGATTAAACTGGTCACTCTAGGAGATAACAACTTGGACCTCGGCAGATGCACCAGCAGCTCTTTCCATCATGTTCCCAGCAGCCTCTTGTATTTCCCTTTTCATAGCGTTTACCCTCACAATGTGCTGCCTCGCCTCTTTCGGCAGCCGAAGCTGAACCCTCTGCTGCCTCTCTGCATATGTCTCTAGCCCCGCATGAGACATTAGGAGTGATATGTAAGAGAGGAATTCTCCACCGGAGCCAAGGCTTTTGGCATGCAGGTAACCCCTGCATCTACCAGCACAAAAACAGAGCATCTCGATCCATACACCTTTGATTACTTCCCACATCTTGTCGTCATCACCAAATCGCATCAACTCTCGAGCTAGAACCCATGAGTCTTGAATAAAACCTTCTGCAGACTCTGCCTTGCTAATTATCTTTAGTGTAAGTCCTCTTTCGTCCAGCAGTGATAGATCATCATCACCTTGGAGGACGGCCTCAAGTTCATCATAAGCAACTGTGAACAAATTCCTTCTGCTGCCAGGCAATAACATCTCTGGATTAGCAAACAGCAGATGCATCAAGTAGTTGGAGATTTGTCTACATATCCTGGCACATTGAGAATTACCAGATGTGCCCCTGCTGTAGAAGCACAAATCCGTGGCCACATGCCAGAGAATGATGCTCCATCGAATGGCTTCTCTATACTCTCCTGAAGGATTTCTTCACGGCCGTTGCGCTCAAGTGCCCACTGGCCTCGGCTGTCGCTGAACCTCCAATAACTCTCGATATCTGCTATATGACTCATCCATCCAGCCTTAACATGCTCATGAACCAACATTGTAATGTCTTTGGATGAGTGATAGGACATCAAGCCAAAATATGTGTCAAGCAAACCTTTGCACTGAAAGAACTCTGCGATGCCCATTAGCCTTGCGTGCTTTCTGTTACAAGCTAAGAATCCTATAAGGCTATGCTGGGCAACCCCGTCTGACCACTCCTCGTCAAAATATGCCAATGTAAGAATGGACGAAATCTCCAAAAAGTATGTGATGTACAATAATATAAATGTAACCTTGATGTCGCTTCCCCTATAAGCCGTTTTGTGGCTGCTGTGGAAGAGGCAAATGGGCACGATCGGTAATAGGAGATTAAGATTCATTATAAGGCCAGAAAAAAAATTGCCACAGGGTGGCGTGGTTCTGTTTTTATCATCCCCTTGGAGTGCCTTGCTATAAATAAGATCAAAAGTGTCAGAGATCCCTTCATAAATGGCGTCGTAAGTGGTTTTCTCGTCCAGCAACCAAAAGGATTTCAAGGTAGTGAGACGGTCATCATAGACATATGCATAGTCTACAAATAATTTGTCCGGCACAGAGAGTCGCTTCTTGTGTGGTGATCGGCTATCAGAATCCATTGCTGGGGGATTTTTGTTCCCTTGCACAAATCTCCGTGCTTTCTGTACGTACCCTTCAAGCTCAACTTCTCTTTTCGCAGTTTTTGTTCTTGGGGCAGGATGGAAAGTAGTGACTATACTATTAAAGCTAGCCTTCCTTAGAGCTGATGGCTTGTCGAAGCATTTGAAAATACCGATGATGAAAAGCAGAATTGCTGCAGCCAGTAACCTCTTATCTGCAGAGGATGACCATGACTTGCAAAACACATAGAGGACCACGACGACCTGAGGAGTTTCACACAACTGAATTAGAGCTGCAGGAGCTTTAGCATAACTACGAGTTGTAATTTTACAAAATATCACGAATCCTCTTTGTTCTCTTTCTCACCTGAGACACTGCAGTTAGAATGTGACGCCTCCATAGTTCATTGTCTTCGATGTTGTAAGCAGAGATGTTGATCTGTCCACCGAGGTGCATGAGCAAGATAGGGGCCCATAAAACCTCTAAGTCACGGCTCTCATTTACATCCCCACGGCTGCAATTTACTGGCTGGTGCTGTGACTTTTGCTGGCGATTGAAGAGCGTGGCGAGGGCATAGATGGCTAGAGCGTCTGCGCCTAGGTACGCTAGCCAGATGAGCAATCTGTACATGGGCCTGATCTGCTTCTTACGAGAACTGGCAAATAACGAGAGGTAGCATTGAACGCTAAGGCTGCCTAACACAAGGATGCGCAGCTGCCAGTCCTCCCACCATTGCACGGCATTTGAGAAGCCCATTGTATGCACATGCACGCTCTGGCCTCACAGGCAAATTAATTAGTCTGTGCTGTGCACTGGTTTATGGGCACCATCCAATGACAAATCTATAGTGTTATATAGTATATGTGAACCCACGTACATGGACAAAGCTTGCTAAGGCCTTGTTTAGATAGCGGTTAGAAATCAGTAAATTGTAACCCTCAAAAGATTCGTCTCGTAATTTACAATCAAACTGTGTAATTAGTTATTTTTTTATCTACATTTAATACTCTATGCATGTGTCCAAAGATTTGATATGAAGAAGAGAGAGTGAAAAAACTTGGAATCTAAACAAGGCCTAAAGCAGAATGGTATTACTTGGCGTGGCCACCAAATGGCTCAAACCAAGTATCAATGCAAAGCCACCCTTTATTGGGACAGGGACAGAGGAATCCGTCCTCTCTAATTGATGCCGTGTTTAGTTGAAGTCTTAAAATCCAAAAAGTTGCTACAGTATCTATCACATCGAATATTTGCGGTCCATGCATGGAGCATTAAATGTAGACGAAAAGAAAAACTAATTGCACAGTTTGGTGGGAAATTGCGAGACGAACATTTTGAGCCTAATTAGTCCATGTTTGGACACTAATTGCCAAATAAAAACGAAGGTGCTACAGTAGCCCCAAATTCCAAATTCATGGAACTAAACAAGGGCTGAATACCCAAGTAAGGAACGGGGTCCCCTTGGAACATCACTCAAACAGATATGCTGGTTTCTGCAAGGCGGGATCATAGGGTGCCGGCCGGGAATTCTTGAAGGTACATCATGCTGTCACGGCGTCCAGCCTAGTTACTGGTTCTGATTGAAACAAAAAAAAAAAAACGGTCCCGTCACTTCTCACACCTGTTGTCTTATTAGCACAAAGATTTGTGTGTCCGTGCATTACAATGGGAACAACAAATGTTATTCAAGTTCTCCCTAATAAGTGTTGTAGAATGAAAAAAAATGATGTTTTGAGTTTGATTTCCACAACATACTGTTTGTAGCCAATCATCACTTTTACAGGAGTGTAAATGAAACAAGAACAATGGACAATGAAGCACGTAATTCAAGTTTATCCTTAAAATCAAAGCCAGCAGGTTAGGACCACAATAGCCAATACAAAAGAAAAAGGAGAGAGAGAAAGAGAGAGAATAAAGAATGAGACCCAGAAAGCTCTCAGCAACAAAGGATCTCAGACTAAATATACAACTCAACACATCCTCTAATAATCTAGATTCCAATTACATGCATAGCAACACCTTGAAACGGTTGCTCCTATTTTTATTGTACAATAAAGTGAGATGGATGGTCAAATCGCCAAAACTACATCCTCCTACTACAAAAGACGGTGATGAATAGTGTATCCAAATCATCTAACGTGTCTTCATAGATCATTGTTCCCCTTCCAACCGGTCAATAGCACACGACTGACAATATCAAATGATGATCCATACAAATGACCTGACCGGCCTTCAGTTAGATCGAGATGGCGGACTAGAGTGGGTGAATAGTCATTTCTAAAACTTAAATGTTTTGGCTGACCGATACAAGCGTGCAGTTAAACTAACGGTCCACCCAAGACTTCGTCCCTCTATCTAATTTCACAAGCACTTATAAAAGAACCTACACAAGGTATCAACTAGGCAGCTAGTGAGAGCTCTCCTACAAAAGTCTAGTTTGCAAGGTCACGCAAACCTAAGCAACTAGTACTCCAGCAAGCACATGAAAGCTCCTACACATACTAGTGATCAAAGGTAAATACTATGGGTGTGTTTGGTTTCTTGGCCTATTTGTAGCCTGGCTAGCTTTAGCCTGCTCCCACCAAGCCAACCCCTAGTTGTTTGGTTGTTTAAGCCTGACTAGCAAATGGTGTGCTTGGTTGTCTGGTCTGAATTGCATAGAAGCAGTTCTTCTTCCAATCGGTAAGTTTATCCCCTTTGAGGACTTTTTGTCGAACATCTGGTGGGCACCTCTTGAATGGGTGCATGGCGAGCACCTCAACGAGCATCCAACAAGCATGGTGAGCAGCCTGGCGAGGACATCCCACCGTCCAATCCAGAGTCCGACAACTGACGCATCCAGGAAGGAGAAGTCGTTCCCATCGACGAACCTCACGCTACCGGAGAATGGCGGCAAAGTAGGGGCAATTGCTGGCAGAGACGCACCTGGTTCATGGGCACTATCACCATGCTTATGGTCACTGCTTGCTTCCTCGCTGAGCGCTCCTTCTCGTCCTTCACCAAAGTGACACGGGCCATCTTCTCGCAAGATCCATGCGCAAGCTAGGTCCACGATGGCTGCCTCCTCCCCGGCGACCCATAGCCTCCATTAGCGTCGTCTCCTCCCCAGTGTGTCGCGGCCCCCGCGATCGGCGAGGCAGGAGTGGCGCGAGCAAGGAGACCGGTGAGGGTGGGGGCACCCATGGAGGAGCATTGGAACCGGAGGGAGGGAAGATGCTGCCTGTTTTGCTTACCTCGGGAAGTCGCGTCTCGCTGGCCAGTAGGCAAGTTGAGGATGAGCGTTTGGTGCGTGGGGAGGTATGCGATGCGGGGGAGGTGATGTGAACGTGACTTGCGCCTGGACAATCCTTGCCCTAGAAAAACGGCTGCCTATGGCGTTCTTTCGAAGCCAGGCTCCGGGTGTACAGATGGATTCCTCAAGCCAATCTACAGCCCATCTACACCCAACCAAACAAGCCCATCTTGGCTCTAGGGAACCAGGCCAAGGGTTGGGCACCCAACCAAACATACCCTATAACTACCTACACAAGTAAGCAACTACACTAGCACAACTAAAAGAGCTACACTAACACAAGAGCAACAACACTAGCACAAGATCAACAAGTAAATAGCTATTGTTATTTAGGTAAGCCCCCAAGGTTGCTGTTGGTCCTCTAGCTAGGTATCAAGCCCTCAAGCTTGCAATCACCCCCCCAAGGTGACCTCCAACGTGAGCACTAGCTCTTTGACCCGGCCAAACCACTTAGTGCTTTTCACACCTCCTTCTACTAGAGTTTCCCTCTTTGTAATATCCCACGAGAACGAGCACAAGAATCTCGTACAAATCCTCCTCCTGAGCCATGCTAAATCTCACCTCCAATAGTAACAAGCTCTCAAGCTTGCTCAACAGCCCCTAGTGCCACTAGATGCTATCTCTCTAAAGCAATTGCACTAGATCACTTCAATCTCACTATGAATGCAATCTTTACTAGCAAATGTGAGTGGAGGGCTTTACTTAGGCTCTAATAGATGGGGGGACAACCCTTGGGCACCAGCAAGATTAAAACAACTGGTCATCCCCACTATATATAGATCCCAAAGCCAAACTAGTCATTGCAGCCTTGTTGCAGCTTTTGTGCAAGCACCGAAAATGTCCGGTGCCCATCAAAAATCAGCCTTGGGAGTGGGTGTGCGGCGACGAGGCCTGAGAGAGAGTGGAGGAGACGTTTGCCTTTGGTGCGTGGGGGAGAGAGAGAGCGGAGGCGGCAGCTGGAGACAGACTAAAAGTGAGACCTAGAGACAAGAGAAAACCTAAGTCTGGTTATATATATGCGACTGTAGTAATGGGCCGGTCTAGGCTTCGGGGCTAGAGGTCCGCCTCTGAAAATAGGCCTCATTTTCAGACCTCTATTAATCCACTTTAGGAGATGGTCATTCATCAAAGTGACTTCGTAAATGAAGAGCAGCCTTTGAAGTTCAGTGCCCATTTCTGGAGACAATACCAATTCTTGCACGCCTTTGTAAATAAAATGGCGAGTCTCCTAAAATCATATTGTAGTAGTGAGTGTTGTGCAAAATACTTTACCCTCCAGAGTGGCCGGTCCTCCAGTGTGCCACCCCCCCTCCCACAACGGGGAGGAGGAAAACAAAATATTCTTTTATTGACAAGGGCTGCAGCTGTGGGCTGGACTATTTGGCTCACAAAGAAATGACTTTGTGTTTAACTATTGCCAACGAAATATTTTTTGCAGGTATTGTTCAGGGAACACATTGGCTACAATTCTAGGCTCTGTTACATTGCACCGATGATGTCAAGAACCACCTAGTGTGTACTCTTGCCAGCTATTAGAATCAAGTTCGATGGGGTTCTTCACCTCCCATGGATAGCCTTTTGTTTTTCGTATTGGCTAGTAGTGTTAAACACATTGTGTGGAGTTAGCGAAACTTTGTAATAATTTTGGACCGATGCCTTTTCCTTAAAGAGGTCTGAAGCTGAATTCATCCATTATCTAAAAAAAGCTATGAAGCATCAACATCTCTCCATCTATGAGAAAGAATTACTGGCTTTGATTATGGCCATTGACAAATGACGTCCATACCTTCAGAAGCAATATTTCACAATCAGAACCGATCACAAATCATTGTGCTTTTTGGAATATTGAAACATGCACTCTGACATGTAGAAGAAAGCCATGGCCAAATGATGTGTCTCCAATTCACCATCACTTACAACAGGGCAAAGAAAATGCGGTGGGTGATGCTCTCTCCCGGGTGGGACACCTTTTTGCTACACATTTGATTTCTGAAGTCAAACCTCTCTGACTCTAAGAAGTTTTGAATTCATATGCCACTGATCAGGAAGCTCGAAACTTATTGCAGCGCATTTAGCTCTTCATAGTCTCAATGCACAAAACTACTCTCATGCAGCAGGGTCTTAGCAAGCATGGCACCCAAATCTGGACTGTCAACAACTCAACCTTTCGAACAAAACTCATCTATGCTTTCCATGCCATTAGGGGGTCATTCCAGGGTTCAACCGACATATATTTAAGGCTCAAAAGGTTGTATTCTTGGAAATGGCTCAAACAAGATGTCCACAATTTTGTCAATCAGTGCCTGATATGTCAATAGGCTAAACACAAGCATAATAATCCTGCTGGTTTACTTCAACCGATTCCGGTTCCTAAAGGCGCTTGGTAGGAGCTGACTGTGGACTTCATTGAAGGTTTGCTGTTGGTGGCTTGGCACCAATACAATTTTGAAAATTTTCGACCACTTCTCTAAGTATGCCCATTTTCTTTGAAGCATACTTTTCACAGCTCCTTATGTTGTCAAACGAGTATGTGATTCAGTGGTCAAACTTCATGGCCTCCCAAAGACGGTTGTTACATACTGTGATCGTATCTTCCCTACTCTGTTCTGGAAGAAACTTTTTGCTTTGATGGGGAAGAAACTGGTTTACGATGTGACATATCATCCACAAACGGATGGGCAAAATAAGAGGGTCAACAATGCTTTCATGACACCAAGTAGATATACTATAAAATATGTTCCACCATGCATTTAATTATACTTATTTAGTAATATAAATATCGGTACTTTTTCATAGAAAATTAGTCCAACTGAATATAGTTTAACTAAATCAGGACTAGAATATCAAGATTTTTTGGGCGATGGTAGTACACTTTTATTAACAACCCAACACCCCAGTGCAGAAAACAGACTGGTCACGGTCTGTACTACAGTTGGCTTCTTTGCAAAGAAGATAGTCCCCTCTAATCCATAGGTATCCGAAAGGAATGATAAGGAGATCATTTCAATTTTCACTCCAACCCATCTGTATTTGGAAGGAATTGTTTTATCGAGACAAATCCATGTATGGATGTCAAAGGGATCTGCAACTTTCGGTTGGATTATCGATTATATTACAACGAGTCAGTTGGTCAGTCAGCCATACACCCAAAAGAACACCTAAAACTCGTCATCTCATAACATATTCCAAGGAACATACTTAGAGTAGAGTTACTGTTAGCCAACTAAAATGAAGAGAAGTCTGAAACTTTTGGCTGTAAACTCAGCTGTTGAGACATGAAACAAAACGACCGAATATGGGATGTTACACTTACCCACACGCAGCAGTCAGCGCGTGGGGGAGCCGGGGAACACTGAAACAGAATATACATCACCTTGCTTTTAGTATATCACTATATATTATGCAGATAATTAAGATATACAAGGGTATACTGTTTGCTCTTACGGTGAAACAACAATAATACTCATTGCTGGAACTGGGGCAACGCATTCACCCTGTGAAGCCGATGTAGTAGCTTGTTTACTTGCCTCCTTTTTGCGGATTCTTCGCGTTGCAATTTTCACTCTCTAGCCATATAAGTAAAGAGCAGAAATTACCACAGAAAGGTGCATCTCTGTTCTTATCATCAAACTGAAATTCCTTGCTATAGATAAAATCAAAAGTTTTGGAGAGCCCTACACGTAGAGCCTCATAAGCGGTTTCTTTGTCCAGTAACCAGAAGGATTTCATGTTAGCCAAACGGTCATGGTAGACATATGCATAGTCTACAAATAGCTTGTCAGTTATAGAGAGTTGCTCTATGTGTTTTCGTCGTTCATTAGACTCCAATGGTGCGGGATCTTGGTTGTGTTGCACAAAACCTCGTGTTTCTTGTAAGTATTCTTCAAGCTCAACTTCTCTTTTCTTTGTCTTGGTCCTCGGGGCAGGAAGGAAAGAGCTGACTATGCTATTAAAGCTTGCCCTCTTGAGAGCCGAGGGTTTATCGAAGCATTTGAAAACACCAATGATGAAGAGCAGAATTGCTGCAGCTAATAACCGCTTATCGGCTGAGGGTGACCATGACTTGCAAAACACGTAGGCGACCACGGTGACCTACAGAGTAGTAAATTTGCAAAATTAATAATACATAAGAGGAAAAGTTTGCTTAATTTGTTTCTTTTTTTCCTGACCTGAGCTACTGCAGTAAGAATGTGACGCCTCCATAGTTCGTTGTTTTCGATATTGTATGCAGATATATTCATCTGTCCACCGAGGTGCATAAGCAAGATAGGGGCCCATAACACCTCTAGATCACGGCTGCCATTTACAGGCTGGTGCTGGTCCTTCTTGTTGCGATTAAAGAGCGTGGCGAGGGCATAAATCGCTAGAGCATCGCCGCCTAGGTATGCCAGCCAGATGAACAATCTATACAATGGCTTGATATGCTTCTTACGAGAACTGGCAAATAGAGCGAGATAGCACTGAACGCTGAGGCTGCCCAAGATGAGGATGCGCAGCTGCCACTCCTCCCACCAATGCATGGCACTTGAAAGGCCCATTGCATTTGCATTCACTGTCCCTGGCCTCACAGGCAAATTAGTCTGTGCACTGGTTTACAGGCACCATCCCATGACAAATTTATCGTGTGTTATATATAAGACATCATGGACAGCTTCCTCAAACAGAATGGTATTACTTGGTGTGCCCACTGCCCACTGAATGCCTCAAGCCAGCATCGATGCAGCAAAGTTAACCTTATCGCAAGTGACAGGAGAGAGGAATCCTCTCAAATTATATTGAACAAACCAAGCAAGGAATGGGGTCCCCTTGGAACATCATCACCTTTACTCAAAGACAAAGAGCATTGCTGGTTGCTGGATGGGATCATAGCGTGCCAGGAAATCTTCAAGGTACCTCAAGTTGTCACGACGTCCAGCCAAGTTACATGTTCAGATTAAAATGACAATAAAAAAACAAACAACACCGTACTTTTCACATCTTGCCATATCCCCACGGATTATCCTTGCCTCTTGGACTGGGATTAGTATGTTTCAGCTTGGGTTCTACTAACTTTGCATCTTGGAAATCAAATGATGTTCCAGAGAAGATTAAATATGAAGATTTTATTTCAACGAATACAAGAAGAATGGCATGCTTTTTTTTCTCGAAAACGATGACGTGCTTTTCACCAGAGGTAAAGAAGATATCGGTACATAAGAAAAATATACCTCTTAAAGCAACATCAATCATCAAGAAAAATAACTTAAAGTAATCCTCTTAATATGTATCTAAATTGCTTGTATCTATCTGTTTGAAAAAGTAATAACTTAAAGTTACCTCTCTTAATACATACCTAAAAATAAATTAACTACCTCTATCATTATCAAAATAACCTCAAGTAACCCCTTAAATCTTCAAGTTGGCTTATAGTACATCATTCAACAAATGGATATATCAGAGACAAAGTTTCATATAACTTTAGGAAAACTTTGAAGTTTGTACACCTCAAAACCTTTAATTACTCAGATACATTTCAAATTTGTAGACAATCTAACTTTTACCTTTGTATTAACTAATGTGAATTTACATAGGCACTTGTTATGCAAAAAAAAAACTAGTTTTCAAATACCTAGGTAAGGAACCATTTTGAAGTAACATGCAAAACTTTTTATCTTATATACCCAAATACACTTTTAAATGTAATAGACTACATATATATTGTCGTGAAGGAGTTCCATTAATTTTGAACTAATTTTCTATTTTTATAGTTTAAAATGGAATTATGCATGCTTAGAGAAATTATAATTTCTTGGGTGCGAACTGCCAAGGAAATTGCATAACCCCTAATTAAGGAAATTATACTTTTCCTTGGTAGTATAGAATAACACTCAACAAAATTCTTACACTCGACCCCGTTTGAATCCTAAGTGAATTCCATTCTAACAATCATAATTTAGGCACCAACCAATTAAGCTAATATAATTGTATGTGGAATATATTTGAATACTATTGTTAGCCATATAAGGAGATACTTATATGCTGCACTTCTATTATAGGCGAGCGAGTCAAAGAGCATGTTATAAGTTCCACAGTATGTAGAACACATAGCATGGGGATCTATAGAATCGATTTCCATCTTCCACCCCATGAATTTAAGATAGCCTTATATTTGAACATTGTAAAGTTATGAATGTCAAATTCTAAGCCAAATAGTCTAGTCCATTATGTAGATTCCAATTCATCTAGAACGAAAGGATCCAAAAGATCCCTCAAGGAAATTCTAATTTCTTGGCGAATAAGAATAGCAATCACAGAATTTTTTTTGAGGCAAACAGGAGGGGAACACCCCTACTAAACTCATTTTACAAAAAAAAAAGGCTAAAAAGAAGAAAGTCAGTCCCTAAGAAGAGGTTTCTTTTTTTCCGCGAATCCTAAGAAGAGGTTTCTTAGAGGACTTGCATCTAAGTAAAGTTAAAGAAAGCTCTTCTCAAAGGAGTCTTTTCCAGTTCCATAGCGACAAAGATTTACCATCAAAAATAATTCCATTCCTTGTAGTCTCAATGCACCAAGCAGCTACAATGATTATCTCCATGAAAATTGATGGCTTGCTGAAGCATTGTAATCCCAGCGATAGCCTATCTAGTATAGGCACCGAAAAATTCCAGTCAATTCGTCTAACAGTCTCCAGCACCAGGAGCTAAAGGAGCACTCAAAAAATAGATGTTCCACTGTCTCTTCAACATTAGCATTGCAAAGGACACAAGAATATGAGGGCAAGTACATATTTTTCCTGTTAAGCATGTTTCTGGTGTTGAGACGATCTAACAAGAGCAACCAGAAAAAGAATTTGTGTTTGCCATGACATCCACTTTTTCAAAGCCAAATAAACTGTTGTACCTTTGGTGATTGGCCCATTAAAGATTTATAGGCTTGCTTGCTGGTAAAGTTTAGCCCCCATATATAATTCCATTGATCCAGCTGCTGCTCATCATTGGGCAAAGAAATCAGTCTATCTTCCAAGAGCACTAGCTGCTGGGAAGCTACCAAAGACAGAGGCAGGTGAAAATTTTGTTGCACATCTCGCTGAAGAAAAGCCACAGAGATCATAGCAAATGAAAACAGCTGTGCAAATTCAAGTTTCAGCAGGCCAAAATTCCAAGTGTCCTCCCAAAAGCTAACTGTATTACCTTGTCCCACTGAACAAAAAGCTATCCATCTGAATTCCAGTAACAAACTCATCACATCCTTCCACCAAAAAGAACCAACAAGCCTTTTCAAGTTTGGCGGCATAGGGCCCGGCTAGTATGCTTGCCAAGTCAAATGCACCCAGGGAGTATTTGTCGACCGAATATCATCGATAGTCCACCGAGGGGTATACCCACGATGGTAGATTGTGTGGTGGAGGTACGCGTGATCAGGAACCGGGTGGTGACACAGGCGCAGAGACACGCGATTTAGACAAATTCAGGCCATCAATACGACGTAAAACCCTACGTCATGTATCTTTGTTGATTGTATTGATTGTATATGAGATGAGAATGATGAGATGAGATGAGGGGGTCCCCTACCCGCCTTATATAGCCGGGGGTAGGGTTACATATCGGTTAGATCTAAATCTAGTCGGTTACATGATAATCATTATAAGGAATATGATATCTAGCATATCCGATCAGATCTATCTCTATCTTCAAGATTCCTTCCTGAAGCCTTGCGGTGCACGCCGAGTAGTACCTTGCACCGTGCGTCTTGATCTTGTGGGTTGGTCTGTCCCTGATGGTACGGCCCATGTCTAGCGCCATGGGTACCCGGGCTTATACCCCCCACAGTATCACAGTGATTATATAATTTATATATCTGCAAATTTCAAGAGAAGAGCTTTATTTTGTGACTTAGGATTGAAGATTCCTAGGTCACCCTCATCTTTAGCCCTACAAGCAGCAGACCAAGCAACCAGGCATTTTCCCTGCTTATGCAAATTTTTCCTGTCCCATAGGCAATTTTTTCGAAAGCTATCAATTTGCTTGAGCACAGACTTGGGAAACTTGATTGAACTCAGCCAGTACATTGGCAGGGAGGAGAGCAAAGAATTAACCAAAATCAAACGGCCATGATAAGATAGTAAGCTAGTGATGCCTGCTAGCCTTCTCTCAATTCTACAAACCAGAGGTAAGAACTCAGTTACAGTGGGTTGAGTAGTGCCCCAGGGTAAGTGGGTAACCCCAAATAAGTGAAAGGAAGGGGGTGCCAACAGAACATCCAAAAGTTTGAGCCAAGTGAAGTGTTTTATCTTCATCCAAGTTGATTGACACTAAAGACGACTTGGCAAAATTAATTCTCAAATCAGTGGAGTCAGCAAAGGATCTCAACAGCCCCTTAAGCAAGAACAATTCTCTAGCATCAGCCTTCATGAAAACAAAAGTGTCATCAACGTATTGCACAATACGATAATCACCACCAAATCTATTACCCAGAGGGTGAGAAAGAAGCCCCCTATGTGTAGCTGAATTTATAATGGTCTGGAGAAGATCAGCAGCCAAATCAAAAAGAAGGGGTGAGAGGGGGTCACCCTGCCTCACTCCTCTTTTACAATGAAAGAACTTCCCTGGAATGCCATTCAAAAGTACTGAGGATGTGCACTACCGGAGACTGTGTAGTTACCGAGTGCCCCGACAATTACCGAGTGTCAAAAGTCGGGGCACTCGGAAAACAGTACTTACCGAGTGCCAACACTCGGAAAACATAAACACCCGGTAGTCGACCGCTTTACCGAGTCAGCACACTCGGTAACTTCAGACACTCGGTAAAACTACAAGTTTACCGAAGGGGTGCACTTGGTAAAAACAGCCACTCGGTATTGAGGTGCCACGTCACCTAGGATAGCAACCGTGCGCCAAACGGCGTCACGGCATGACATGTTTACCGAGTGTTATGAGCATACACTCGGCAAACATCACGGTAACAACAGCTCCGCCCATAAAGCGCTCATAGCAAATAAAAAAGACCGAAAATGTTTACCGAGTGTCAGTGCACAACACTCGGTAAACACTATCTTTTACCGAGTGTATTGGCGTAACACTCGGTAAAATTCAACCAAATTTTTTGTTTTTCCCTTCATTCTTTTTTTCTCTATCCACATATGATATTTAGTACTCCATTCCAAAATATGGTGTTTATTTCGATTTATTTACTATATTTCACAAAATTTTCATTCTTTATGAAAATTAGGTACATATCGTGTAAATTTAATTGTAATAATTAAAATCGAACTCGATAAATCACAAGATTGGAAAAATTAACATTGAAGCATACATCTATGTTATAGAAAAAAATTCATAACGTTTTGGAAGTATTTTTACATTAAATCATTTGCCGGTACACATCTCCCAAAGAGACGCTAAACATTCACAATGACGAGTAGGATTTCTATTAAGAGTGAAATTCAACATTATGATTTGAACTTGGAATTTTTTAGATAGTAAATAGATGACATGAAATAGTTCATGTGAAAGTTTGGTGAATTTTAGGATTAAATTGACATTTT